TGCACAAATCGATGGAGGTTCACCGACATCGGAGGTAATAGTTGATTTTTACCTTCATTCACTGTACTAAATCTATAGTTTCCTCTTTTAAATTAATAGCTTCACGAAAAATTCGAAAACTTTCACTTAAAATACCAAATGCATTTTCTACAACTCTCCTAGCTTACCTAGGGTTTTCAAACATATTCGTTTTCTCTTCTTTTGATGATGTTTAATTTTATTTAAATGTCTAGCAAATTTACTGGTGTAAATACTGTCAATTTGAGACGATTAAAAAGCAATAATTTATAAAATACGAATTAATCGATTTCATCTATATTATTGACTAGAGAATCTAGTGGATCCCCATTACTACTTTACTTCCAAGAGATGCTATAAAACTAAAAATAAATGACATTGTGTAATCACCTAGACAGTCGTAAAGAAGAGCAATAAAGCTGCTAATTTTAATATTATTAATGTTTTTTAATAAGCACTTTTATATAATCCTACCTGTTATGAGTTAATTATTTAATGCAATTATGTTCTGATTTATTTTATCACCGGTGGATGATTATAGGTCATGGATCACTTATAATACTAAACAAACACCGTGTGATGTTAGTATTTATTTATTTATTTTTACGCACAACAGGCCGTTAAGGCCTAGGGCATTTTTTAACATAATCCTAATATTAACTAATTACAATTATTTTAAATAAAACTTTAACTTAAATATGTATATACAACATTTTTAACTACTCTGAAGTACCTGGTGGACAATATTTCTCCATTCGTTTCTATTTTGTGCTTTTCTTTCCAGTCCCTCACCTTCACGTGTTTAAGGTCTTCCTCCACTTTACTAATCCACCTCGTTCTGGGTCTACCTCTTCTTTTGGGCCGTTTAGTTTTCTGGTTATTACTAGTTTAGGCATTTCTGTTTGCTGCAATTCTTTCCACATGTCCCAACCATCTGATTCTTTGTGCCTTGGCGAACTTGGTAATGGTAGGTTCTTTGTATAAAGCCATTAATTCATTGTTGGTTCTTCTCTCTCAACCATCTTCTGTCTTCCGTCCTCCGAATTCACGTTTCAATATTTTCCTTTCCCATCTTTCCAGAGTATCCTCTTCCTTCTTGTTTAATGTCCATGTCTCACCGGCATATGTTACTATGGGTCGAATTACTGTTTTATATCTTCTTCTTTGGGTGTCGTGTCCGTATTCAGACGTTGGCCGTCATCATGTTTACAATTTCCCGAAACCTTTCTCTGTCGGCTGCTGTGCGAAATAATTCTTCTACTGTGGAACCACACCATTGTCTAAATTACGCAGCCATGAAAGTTTCTTTCGACCAATCCATCTCTTTTCTTCCACTTTTCCTTGCATTATAGGCGAAGTAGATGGTATTTAGGTCCTCTAATTATATGGCCGAAGTATTCTCTTTTTCTCCTCTTTATGGTGTTTATGAGCAGACGTTCTGAATTGATCATTTGAACAACATCTTCATTGGAAGTGTGCGAAACCCACGATATTTTTAGGATTCGTCTATAGCACCACAATTCGAATGCTTCTAACTTGTTAGCATTGTGTGTTTTTAACGTCCATGCCTCATCATACACACACAACCAGGTCATAAAAGCCTTACGTGATATTTCGTACTGGTTATTATCTCTTCATCAAGTCACAATTTACATGTAACCAGCTGCCAAGGTATTTGAAATGATTTACCCTTTCGATCTCCTCTCCTTACTGTTTTATATATTCTGAGTTTACCTTGTCTAGAAACGTATTTTGAGTTCAGTAGGGCTCTTAAACTACCTAATTTTTTATTCCTTTTTGCTATTCTGCTTCGAGCTTCCATTTCTCTTTTCCATTTTGATCGAAAACTACAACCAGGTATTTCAAATTTATCCACCCTTTTAAAACTATAGCTTTTACCACTTACAGACCTCACACTAAAGTCTTCTTTTTTCCCTTTTGTCCCTCCCATGATCATATAGTTATTTGGTTTTATCTTCATTTAGTTCCAATCCGAATTTCTGTGCTTCTTCGATGATTTTCTTCACAACTCTTCTTAATTCTTTATGGGTTTTTGCTAGGATCGTTAGATCGTCAGCAAATGCCAACACTGGTACTCATTTTTCATGATCGTTTCTTCCACCTTCATGCTGCATTTTTTGATTACAGTTTCTAACACTAAGTTGAATAATGTAGCGGATAAAGGATCTCCTTGTCTCAAGCTTTTGCAACCGTAAATTGATCTGATATGTGACCCTGCCATGCAATTTCACACGTAGAGTTATTTAGTGTCATTTTAACTAGCCGGATCAGTTTCTTTGGTATACCCAAATGTTCCATTGCTCGATACATTTTGACTCTATCGACTCTATCAGATGCTTGTCTAAAATCCACTTTACCTTCATAACAAGTCGTTTGTATCTCCTTTAATGAGAAGGTTTGGTCTACAGTAGATCTGTCCTTTCTAAAGCCGGCCTGATACTCATGTAGGATTCTTTCCGTGTAGCAATTTAGTTTATTTCTCAATATTCTTGCCAACATTTTGTATATCGTGTCTAGTAAGGCTATACCTCTATAGTTGTCACACTTCAGTTTGTATCACAAAGCTGCAATGGTATTATGTTTTAATACAGGTTTGTCATACATGTATAGCAAATAAAGGACTGCGCTTAACACGCTATCTTGCGGAACTCCTGCTCTAATTTCTATTATGCCTGAACAGCTGTGTTTAATTCTATTAAAGTAAAATTAATTAATTCTAAAGTGTCTTTCAGACATATGACTGTAAATTTTGCGAATATTGATTAAAAGCATAAATGGTTTTAACTGATATATCAAACATTCATGCCAAACTTCATCGAAGGCTTACAACATTAAGAAATATAGTAGAACATAGCTTTTTTTGTTCTAATGATTTTTCAATGATATTGATGATTTCAATTTCAATGATTCTATGCACTTGATCAATTGTTGCGTGCTTATTTCTGAAGCTAAAATGATGTGTCACAATCAAGTTTTTTGTTTCAATAATGGTTTTTATTCTTTCGAGTAACAGAGTGTCGAATACCTTCGATATTACAGAAAGTAGTAAATGGTTTGTATGAAGAAATTACATTGGGAGCTTTTTCTGGTTACGAATCATTGTGACTTTCGCTATTTTCCATAATCTGGGTACAAAAATTAACCTAAATATATATAGTCCCAAGATTCCTAAGAGGAACATAGGGCTTCCACAAAGTGTCTCCAGCGAACTCTATTTCTGGCCTAGTGCTTTGATTTGAAGCCAGGATTTTCCCATTTTTCTCCTTCGTCCAGTACCGTCCTTCTCCAAGTTCCCTTACGTCTGCCTACTTTCCGTCGCCTTGGGGATTCCAATCCAGCGCTGTCCTGGCAATGTCATTTGGCGGTCTACGGAGTGTGTGGCCCAGCCATCTCCATTTTCTTCGCCTTATTTGCTTTATGACATTTTCTTGGTTGCTTTGGTTCCATAAATTTTCATTGGAGATTCGGTTAGGCCAAAATATACGAAGGATTTTTCGTAACGCTTTATTGATGAAAACTTGTAATTGGTGTACTATGGGTGCTGATATCTTCCACGTTTCGCAGCCATACAGTAATACAGCTTTTACATTTGTGTTGAAGATTTTTAATTTCGTTTTAGTTGGGTAAATCCTGGATTTCCATATGTTGTTAAGCATGTTGTAGGCGTTGCGAGCCTTATTTATTCTTTCATGTACATCACGCTCTGTACCCCCATTACAGTCGATTATGCTGCCCAGATATACAAATTCCGCTACTCTCTCAATTTTCTGGTCGTTGATCATAATAGGTTGGTTGTTTCTGGTACCAAATCAAAAAAAAATTAACCTAAAGGCAGCATTAATTAAGTAAGTAATTAGTAAGTTTTGCAATAGTTTAGTCTTCCTTAGTGCCTATTTTGACATTAAAATTACCACCTATTATTATAAAGTGTCCAGGATTTTCCTTGATTGTACAGGATATTTGATCGTAGAATATTTGTACTTCTTATTATAGATGTCATGTAGTAGGGGCGTACACTTAAACGATCTTTAGGATATATCTTGCGTTTATTATGATGTTTAAATAGACAACCCTTGTTGAGATTTGGTTTATTGACACAATTCTGTTGGCAATCCTTTTGTGAACAAAAAAACCGACGCCTGACTGTCGATTCTTCTTTTCGTTTGTAGTACCATAAATACCCTGATAAAAGTGTAATAAGACTCTCTCCCTTTTTTCTTACTTCACTGACACCGAATTCGCTTTTGAGAATTAATCCTCCATTTTTTCGAATCTTTCCTCGGTATAGAGTGAATGATCTTACGCCGTATGAATCCAGTTTGTTCTGACTTTCTTAAGAGCGTGGCTCTATTGTGTTGGAGGTGTACCTGTACTTCTATTTGCATCAAACTTACGACCCCACTCCACCATGCTTTTAGTCCATTTGCCGGAATATCTCACCAGTCATTAAATCAAAGCTTGGAGCTTTTTTTTGGGTTGATATTTTATTTTATTTAAGTTATTACTTCTTTAGAAGACGTTGTTGGTCTTATCACGTTCTTTACTTGAACTGGTTCTTCCCAACTTTGCTCATCTTCTTGGCTTTCATTATGTGTTAATGTGTTTTCAAGCCGTATACCAAATTTGTCTGCTTTTTCTTCATTGCTCCTGAACTAATTATCGTCATCCAGTCTAACGGGTGGAGAGTGGATAATTGGACTGAAAGTCTTAGTTTTTTTGTTGTTTTCCATGAAGAATAATCAGTTCTATTATCATCTGTTAAATTTTTTAAATATATATTAATTGTTTTATTCTTTCCATGTTGGATTTCTTATTTAAGTTCTTGACTCGCATTGTTTTATCTTGAGAAAACCTAGTTGGTTGCCATGATCAAATAGAGAAGAATTTCACCAAATCTTTTCATCCGGCATCAAGTTATTTGCTAGACTAAAATCAGTGATATATTGGATTTAACCATAATAAAACAACTAAGAAAAATTTATTATTGGATAAAATTATACTTAAAATGAACCTGAAAAATAGTTTTATATTTAAATCTTCGATCTCATGTCATTATAACATGTAAGAGCATTAAATATTGCTGTCGGTTGATCAGCTTCTTGTGACATACAGGAGTTGACTATTTTTTCCGCCTTTTTCTTATCCTTTAGTAGCGAATTTGTCTTGTGTAGGAACGCTTTTTTATCAATGTTACCTTCTTTATCTAAAAATCCTAAAAAACATGGTAAAAATTAAATTTAGCGAATTATAAATAGGAACATAATGAATACAAAATCACTTTTTCTTTATTTTTTAACCATAATTTAATGCAATTGACATTTTTTAATTAATTCCATATTTCAGTCCATGTTACGACTGGTGCATACATTATTTCTCCTCCTAAATTTAAAATGTACTTCAGAAATCTTTGCACCAACCTCTGCGCCAATCACGCGCCAATCTCCACGCTTACCCCCACGCTAACCTCCACCCAGTACCAGTAATGCATTGGTTAGTGATCAGTGTAGTAGTGTCTGGAGGTTCGGAAGACTGAGACCTCGGAAGCCCTGAAGAAGACATCGAAGAGGATGTCGAAAGCTCGGAGTAATGAACATAAATAATGAGTGAAAATAAGCTTTATTCGAGTAAATATGTATCTAATTATCTACCTGTAGAATTTCCCAAGCAGTATAAATAATCTTTAAACTTTTGTTCTGGCTTAAATCGTCCCATTATACTGTTACGGATATACTTCGGTTTTGCTCCACTATCCAATTCACATTTCTTTAAGATTTTTAAGTAGTCAAAAACTTGTTGCTTCGTTAAGAATACTTCTTCACTGCTTTCTATCTCTGCCTACAAAAATTAAATGCGTTAAAAAACAAATATAAATAACTGGGGGTTAATCGGGATCTGAATAATTATAATTTCATATCTCATACACAAATTAATTTATACAACAAATATAAAAGTTAAGAAAACAAGAATCAATATTATAATTTGCTTATTCTGTCTTTCTTTAGGTTTAAAACCCTAGCACCATCTATCTTCAAAAATTACTACTAATTTTTAATAATATACACTTCATCTAATTTACATATACGATTGCACGTCATCGGCGTTATAGCCCGTGACGTCACATGATACCAACACGAAATATTTAGGCTGGATTTGTGTTCTTTTTTTAGAATCACTTTGCCGAGTACATTGGTGCATTACAGCCATTAGACATATTTTTATAATATACGCGTAGAAATAATATTTAAAAATTTCTATTAATGTTAACACAAAGAAATACACAATAATATGTTTCATTTAATTTGTATAAACGCATTATAAAGCGTTTTTATGAAGAACATTTGTTCGGAACACACTGTAACTGTAAATCGAACGAAGGTGATATTTTGGCATAAAATGGGTAACACTTATTTGACAGTTATGTCAAATTAGGTGTTGTGAAATTAGTGTGTTTTTTTTCAAAAATGTCACGTAAGAATTAAATAGTCATGGTAAAGAGATGGTAATACTTTTGCAATAATTATGTGATATATTTGATTTAAAATGGGTCAGGATTTTTTTATACTTTGGCAACTATGTCAACTTCGATCTCTGACGTAGATAATGACGTGCATCGGTATGTTAATTAGATGAAGTATATTATTATACGTCATATGTCACTGGTTTAATTATAAAGAAATATTTATTAAATCAACATTTTTAATAACGGGGAATAACGTTATTTATTAAGAAATAAAAGCTTTGGAAAATTTATAAAAATAATATATATTGTCTTTAATGGTTTAGAACTCTTATCTACATACTACAAAACGAGACCTTTTCGTACAGGTATCATAATAATAATCAATTAAAAAATTGATTTGCTAATTGAGGCACTTTATTCTTTATTTTTTTTCTTGTTTTTTCAATAACTAGACTTTTTTTGGTATTTTTTATCTTAATTATGTGTACACATGCACTGTAATGTTATTTTTTCTACTCTCTTACTAGTAAATTGTATATTACCTACTATTTGGATGCTAAGTAAATGCATCATAACAGATACTGACACGTAATGACTAGCACGTAATAAAAAAAAATTACGCTTCAGTTCTATAAAAATGTGTAAATATCACATACGCCTTGTAAGTCAGGTTGGTCGAGTTACCATGGAAACGAATTAACAGGCGTTGTTTTGACAGGTTAAAATTATTAATCTGTCAGTGTAAATATAGTGGTAATTTAATTTTTATTTTTATAAACAAAAATAATGGTAGAAAAAAGTATAGTACACAACTTGAGTTGTAAGCTTATTACATGCTTGTAAAATTACTGCGCTCGCCGCTACGCGGCTCGCGCGCAACTTTTTTACTCGCATGTAATAAGCTTCTTACAACTCTCGTTATGTTAATATACTATTATATTACTAACCCTAACCTAACACGTTTGTTTTCAAAAGGCTGTAGCCATGATACTATGACTAACAAGATCTTCCCGTGAGCACAAATCGGTCGTGTTCGCACATGCCGACGTTGGAGGGTAGAATTTGAATTCTTGTTAAAGTTAAATGGCTTTGTATGCATTTTGTGATGAAATTACTAGACGAACATAAGTTAAGAGTTTATTAATTACAATAATCGTACACATAAGGATATCTCCAAAATATTTAGTAAAGTGAAAAAGACAGCAAAGATTAGAATTGGTTTCGAAAACTATTTTACGTATTTAGTAAAGATTATTTTATTGATACATACAAAGAACTGACATTTCGAACGTGCAACTCTCTATGACGTCACGACTTATGCACAATATCTATCTGCTTAGTCATAGTCTCATGGCTGTACCTTAGAAAAAATGGCTGACCAACATACAAAATTGTCAGTGTTTCTATATAAAATTAAATAAACCTTTTAAATATTTTAAATGATCAAAAAAATTTATGGAAATGTCATTTTTGTAAATACGGTTTTAAATGTTTTGACTGCAAAATACAAATTGTGTTTTTAAATCAAATACATAGTATTATTAGGGGTGGCAGCTATAACCGAATACTATAATATAATATACTTTTAACGGGTGACCTTTAATAAAAGGTAGAAAAATCCACTCGGAGAGTGGCCCAATGACTGGACAACATTCACTTTCAACCCATATTTAAAAAAGGAACTCCGCTAGATTGCAGCAATTACAGAACGGTAACTCTAATGTCCCATGCAAATAAGGTTCTACTTCATGTAATACATGAAAGACTAAAAGCTTTTCATTGCCTCAGATATTAGAAGAACAAGCGCGATTTGTCGCAGGAAAAAGGCACAAGAGAACACATCCTTAATATCAGACAGCTAATCGAAAAAACTCCGTGAGTTAATAATACTTTTATGCTTATGTGCTTTGTAAATTACACAAAGGAGGTCCATAAAGTCAAATGGCAGCAGCTATGGTCCATACTAGCAGAAACGGGAACACCCCACCACTTAATTCAACTAAGTAGAAGTCTATATGAAAATAATAAGTGCACAGTAAAAATAAACAATACCCATTCCGATCATCTCAGAACAGAGGCAGGCATCAGGTAGGGATGCATAATCTCGCCAACTCTATTTAATATCTACAGCGAACACATTATGAGAAAGGTACTAGACGGATGGAATGGTGGAATATCAGTAGGAGGTCAAAAAATCAGGAACTTAAGATATGCTGATGACACTTTATTATTCGCGGCAAATCAAGAAGAAATGGAAGACATAATGAGATGTCTGGAGGAGAAAAGCAAAACATATGGACTAAAGCTAAATAGAAGTAAGACATAAGATCATGATAGTAGACAGATCTCGGAACAAACTTCAACGCATTAAAGAAATTGGGGCTTTGAAGTAGTAAAGAGTTTCATATACCTGGGGTCCCTAATAACAAATAACGGAGGGTGTGACAGAGAGATACGTGGAAGGTTGACTATTGCTAGAATAGCAATGACGAAACTGGTAACAAATTGGAAAAATTCTAGCATAACAATACACATAAAACTAAGGCTAGTAAGGGCACTCATTTTTCCATAGCCACATACGCATCTGAAACGTGGACCTCAAAGAAAGCGGATAAAAATAAACTAGACGCTTTTGAAATGTGGGTATATCGCCGCATGTTAAGAATATTCTGGACTGATCATCGCACTAACGTATCGATATTAGAAGAACTTAAAGTAAAGGATAGATTGCTTAAACAAATACAACAGAGACTTTGTAATATTTTGAACACATTGCTAGAAGAACAGGTACGATGGAAAAACTGAGAGTCGAGGGTAGAGTTAAAGGAAAGATCTAGGGGAAGATCTCCAAATCGTTTGGTAGATCAAACAAAATATTGATTAACTAAGGGTTACATGAAGCCGAACAACTAGCCTAGGACAGGAAAGGATGGAGGAAAATCGTGAAAAAACTGTAAGGGCTTGATAGTGTCACCACATCCCAAAAGATATTAAGACTGAGGAGGAGGAGAAAGAGTTTGAGTTGATCCAAATTGAGAATGGGGTTTAGATAGTATTTGAATACTACTATTGATTTGGGTTTTGTGTAGCCGTTTTTTAAAAGTATTTGCTTATTACATAAATTTATTTCGGATGACCTGTAAATATTCTTAACTCTTATGAACGGAAAAGAAGAGTGTGGTAACTTAATTGAGTTGGAAGGGGTGATGATGTGACTGGGCATTAAGAAAACGGTTTGTATGGGTGGGTTTCAGGTATACGGAATAGGAAAAACTGCGAGGTAGATTTTCTGTTATAAGAACATGAAGGAATGGCAAAGATGCTTCAGACTCAACTTCCATAGTGAATTGAATACTGGAATGTATTCTATTCAGCTAGGAGAGGAAGAGATCTAACGGGTTTTTACGTGAAGTAGTGATTTTAGAATGAAAAGTATGTATTAGACATACAGTGTTTTATAAGAGATAATCAATCCAGTGTCTTGGAAAAATGGAAATGATTTCATCGAAAGGAATGTTGGTGAATAAAGAAACAATATCAAAACTAGCTAGTATATCTGAGGGTGAAATAGAAATGTTTTTCAAAAGATCAATGAAATGGAAAGAATTTTTGACAAAGGACAAGGCGTTTTCGGCTAATGGTTGTAAAGATAAAGCGAGATGTTTTGCCAATTTCTGAGTGGGGCAGTTGTATGTACTGACGATGATCATTGGGCTTATGGATTTTTGGCGGGCCGTATATTCTTGGAATTCGAGATGATTTCTATTTGGGTATAAGAGATTTTTTGACGTCTGGAGGTAGAGTAGACTCTAGATAGGTGGTGGGATCGTTTGAGACTCGTTTGTGTTCTGTGGAATTGAAAACTTTGAACATTTTGTCGAAATAATTAGAAGAGTTGAGGATAAACGGTGGATAACGGTGGCATGGAAATAATAAGCAAGATACTAAACAAGAAAAGAGGACGAAACACGGAACAAAGAGTCACTATCTGTAGAGCTAGAATAAGAAACTCGACCAGGGGAGGCCAAGAAGTTAAAATAATTCGATTAAATTAAATTAAAAATTAATTAGAAAAAAATTAAAATCATAAAAATGACTATTATTGAACAACTAAATGAAATGAAACGAAACTATTTGGTGGAATCAAAAAGTTAGTATATTCTTATTTGTAATAAGAGGAAAAAGCAAATCATTTTAGGGAATTATTATATAATTTCCTAAAATGATAACAATAGACTACAGTATTATTTCTATTAATCAGAAATTGGTTCAACTAATATTTTAGACGAATTTAAAATCATTAAACAAATCATTGAGATGTTTCGTTTCATTATTTATTATTATCTAATAAGCCAAAAAAAGTTAAATAACGGAAACAATTCTTTGTTAAGAATACGCAATGATCTGTATCATCCAGCTGTTTTGAAATAATGCGACAATATTCATTGTTCAATAATTTAGAAAAATGTCCTTTTTAATTTTTACATTACTTTAAATCTCATCATCATTATATTACTTTTTCGTAACAATTAAATTAGGGTTAATGATTTGTAGTTTAAATTCACAACTCACCATCAGACCAGACCATTTTACACAGAAGTCTACAATCATGCAAGCTTTGGCTGTTTTACTCGTTATATCTTTTATTGGTCTCTCAGTGGTAAGTGAGGTCTCAAAAAAGTTGAGTTTATTTTTGACTTTTTTACGTATATTTATATTTTTAATTCGCTGTTTTTTATTTAATATACTTATCAATCAACATTAAATATAACGAAACCTCCATCAACCTCTTGTAGATTATCGTTGTAGATGTTATTTGATTCCAATACAAAGCAACTATGTGACTTTCTCTGCCATCAAAGCCAATGTCCCTTAGAACTTCGATCAATATAGAGTGCTTAATACGATCAAATGCATTTTGAAAGTCCATAAAACAACGGTACAGGTCTACATAATATATCACGACATCTTTGAGCAAGTAAGTTTATCCCAAACAATGCCTTTCTCGTTCCGAACTTGCTACGGAAACCAAACTGTGTGTCACTTAAGTATTCTTTACCTTTAGAACAATTTTCAATAAATGGTTTAATAAACTGATAGTTCTATATTCAGCACAGGTTTTGGTGTTATCTTCTTAGGTAGAATTATGAACAATCAATGGACCAACCATTGGGTAGGTGTCCGTTGGTATAAGTGGTATTGAAAAACGAAGTTATAGCCTCTAAAACATTGCTATTATTTATAAGCTTGTATATTTCTCTTGGAATTTCATCAGGACCTGTCGCATTGTCATTTTTGATGATTTTATGGCTTGTGTTATTTCAAAGAGTGTTATTAGGGGTCCGTCACAATTAGTAATATCTGGAGATGAAATAATTCTATCATCTTACGAATAGGTTGGTAATGTAATTTTCCCATTATTTAAGTTTGTGTTTTACTTTAATATTATTTTATATTGTTCATGATGTAGCAGTGCAGTTTGTCTCTTATTGAGGATATTGCATCAGATATTGAAGATACTAAAGTGTCGTATCTATTTTCGAGTTCTTGAATTTCATGACAGATCTTGACAGTTTGGCTAGATCTTGACTCTTTGCTTCTCGTATTTATGTCGAATTTCTTTTTATATACTTTTATAAAGTTTTTCGTTGTTTTTTGCTAGTCGTCGTTGCTCCAATATGCTGCAATATGCTCCAATAAATCCAATATGTTTTCTGCCATCCAAGCCTACTTTTTTAGCTTTAAGCTGCGTTTTAAATTCCTTTCACAGATTTTCTTAACTGTTAGTTTTAATTTTATTCAAGCCTTCATCGACATTCTCACCATTATTTCCCCAAACTAAATTTCCGTTCAATTGTCTTTGAACCGTTTTTTATCCTTCTTGTCTTGTAGTCGGGTTTTATCAATATTTTTGCGAAACTTATTTTTGATCACCTTTTTAATTCTAATTGAGTTTAATCAGGGATTGTGATTAGACCCAATGTTAGCATCTGGATAAGTTTTAGCTAATTTAATGTAGTTTCTAAAATGATTTTTTATTAGAATGAAGTCGATTTGGTTCCTAATAATTTTATTCTCTGATTCTAGATTTGACTTTGACTTGATGAGTCTTCTCGGTGTTAATGTGAAGTGAGCTTCGATTATGAATCGTGTTGGCAAAACTGGACAAGTACGATTTCTCGTTAATTTCTGTTTACCAAGCCATAATCCCCAACAATATTCAAACAGCGTCCTTTGCCGACTTTAGTGTTAAAATATCTGGGGACTATGGTATATTCTACTGCTTTAACAATATCTATAGCATAGTAAGATCTTTTTAAAAATGCTTCTAAATGATCTTCCAATGTATGGGCTAGACTGAATAATTGTAATGATGCTTTGAATTAAATTTCACTAGGATTACTCTGTCAGATATGGGATATAATTGACTACTGAATAAGCATTTTGCGACTACGGTTGCAACTCCATTATAGTGATTAGCATCGTTATTTTCGGCATTAGTTACACTTGGTTCTCTATTTATCCATTTCTTTCAAGTAGTTTTTTTATTCCGTGTTTTGTGTTTATTATTTATTATTAGTACAAGGCTATTCTCTTCGTTTATTGCCATCTTCTATATTTTTTATTAAAATAGTATATTGATGATGATGATGATGATAATTAAGACTGAAAAATACAGAAAATCATTGACAAATTATTGTGCAAACATAAATGAAGCTGAAACATTAAAGAACGATGGTAGTGAAAATGAAACGAAACAGAATACAAAATGAAAACAAAAAATTAACCAAAAACCATTAATGGCACAGAAATATGCAACCAAACTAGTATGAACAAATTATCCTAAAGGAACTATAGAAATGTACAATTTTTGAATATAGAAATATACAGAAAAATATAAAAGGTAGATCTAGGAACAAATGGATAGATTAGATAAAAAATCTAGGAAAATCAACGGAAAATGACAAAATAAAATTAAATTAGTGACAAATTACAGAAAAAAAAAAATATTTTTTGCCATTGGGAACAATAAGTAATGCGTCCATAGTTTAAATGAATACTTTTTGTTGCTTTGTTTAACAAACATTTGATTTATTCTCTTCTCTTCGTAATCTTGATGCCCTATAAAAGCATCGGATTGCTGAAATCTATCCACTTTTAATCGATTTCTTTTATGACTTTCAGTCTCCAGCCATTTTCTTGATCTGTTTTCCTTCTCTTACTCCCGATTTACTGGATTTGTATCATTCACCCCTTTCTAGGCCATATCCCTTGTCTTTTATTTATAATTCATGTCAGGTTATTGTATAAGTGAGGTCAAAACAGCACTTTTAGAAATACAAAATAACAAATTGCCTGGCGATGACGCAGTAGTAGAGACGATCAAACTAGGTGGAAATAAAATTATCCAGGCTTTGGCCAAACTGTTTCACTAAATGCATCTACAAGAAAAACTTCTTCAATGAAACAACGCAGTCATTGTTTTATTATACAAGTAAGGAGACATAACAGATCTAAAAAAATACCGTCCTATCCATTTGGCTCTTTCACAAACATCATACATACAACATTTTTCACAAAAATTATCAAAAAAAGACTGGACGTCAAGTTAAACTTCTATCAGTTGGTTTAGATCGGTATACAGCACTAAAGACTACTTAATAGTGATAAAGAACCTAATAGAGAAGTCTGCAGAATACAAAAAACCATTGGCACTGATATTCGTCGACTACGAGAAAGCATTCGATACCAAGTCAGAAGAAAATGTTAAAATGATAGAATAATTACTGAAAAAACTTTTTTCGCTGCTAGGGATATGTGGAATCAAGTAATAAGTCTATAGTTTTCCTATATTTCTTTTTCTTGTAACTATTCTTTCTTTACTTACACTTATTTTTTTGTTTCTTTTTCAACGAATAGTCTTGTCTTGAATTCTCTTGGAATTATTATATTTAGTTTTTCTGACCTTCATTAATAAAATTGCAAATTCATTATTGACTATTATAAATTAAGTATAAATATATATATATATATATATATATATATATATATATATAATATATATATATATAATATATATATTAAATTCAAACGAGTGGCGGAGAATTCCTAGAAATATTATTTAGTCTGATCAGTTACTCGACGAAAAAAATACAACATTATTTATATTGAAGTGATCATAATAATCTAAAAAAACTTTGAATTAAAACCTAGTGAATTTATTCGAGATCCATTCACCGTTTACATGAGACTGCACATTTTACGAAACGTATACAAAAACGTTCAATAAGTCGAGTGGAAGTGTGAGAGTAACATTCGCATTTTACGAATAAATTATTTATTAAATAATAGAATAATACATGGACTGGATCGGGGTCTGTCAAAAGCAGAGGTTATATTATTTAATATTCTGTGGAAAACGGATAATAATCATTTAATCTTCCTACTCTCCCGAAGTAAATGTTAATTCGTTGTCTATGGGTATGGTGGACCCAGTGGATAAAACTCACTGTTGTGAATTAAATTCAATTTTTTTATTAATTCGTAGAAGCTTTTGTAGTTTCATGTTATCGATGTATCAAAACTAAAAAATTTTTTTGTAATAAAAAATATAAAAAACACTTTACATTCAATTTAAATTATATATTTATTCAATGCAACTTTTACAAAAGATATTTAAATGATCAGGACAAATAAACCTTTACATGCTTGACATCTTGTACGACATTTTCTGTCTTTTTCTCATCCGCAGTCTTTACATCTTCCACGTTTTGGACTTTCATTTGCATTTTCGCTTGTTCCAGCTACTGCATGTAAATTTATTTGGATTTTTTATGGAACGTCTGTTTGCTGTTCGGGTAGTTCGGCATTTTTCTGTTAAATTATATGCCAATTTCTTTTATAAAAGCCTTCTTTTATGTAGTTTGTGCCTATTATATTGAGGATTTACATGCATAGATAACACATATGCGTTAAAAAACCGCCAATATCTAAAATACTATAAAATAAGCAAAGTGGCACCTTCTAGTTTTCTTTTGCAGTAATAAGCTGACGCTAATTTATCTGTTGTATCTACACCTCCTTGGTCCTATTGTATTTTAAAATAATGTCTGGTTTCTAATGTTCTTACTATGAATACCTGGTCATCTGATGCATCGAGAACAAAAGAATATCATCTTTGGGGGTATACAAGGCAACTATCGAACACGGTGATTAATTTAATCTTGCCCAAGTACTTTCGATCAATAGATCATCTTCAGGGGCATCTTCAGGAGCATAGTAGAATGTCATAAATGTAAAATTTGGACATAACAATACAAAATACAATACACTAAGACAAACAAACACTTTAAAATTTTTATGGAGAAGCTACATGTTGTATAGAAGCCGGAGACAGAAAGGGCTCCCGGTCTGACGGAAATGTAGAGATGACATGTGACAAATGACAGCTTGTAGAAGGGCAGTTATGTGATCTGCACCTTTCAAAATTCTATGAAACTAAGTATCAACCAAAGGTCCAACTGACACATATAGAGAAATCAACTGATGAAATATAAAATTATATAGTATATTTTTTTTATATAGATTGAATAATCCTAATTTCACACTCAAACCTGTCTATAATAATTAGGATGTTATACATAAGCGCAATCCTGATTC